TATTTATTTATCTTTAAAGGGGAAGGGGGGAAGCAGAGAGGGAGAGAAACATCAATGTATGGTTGCCTTTCGTCATGCATCCCCTGCTGGGAACTGGCCTGCAGGAAACCAGCCTGCAACCAGGCATGTGCCCTGACTGGGAATCGAACCGCGATTGTCTGGTTCGCAGGCCCGCGCTCAATTCACTGAGCTACACCAGCCAGGGCCATATATAGCCTGTACTTATTGAGCACCTATCATGTCTGTCACTGTACTAGATGTTTTATGTGTAATATACATATATAAGATTAATTAGAAATAAAAATTATAGTGATTACATTGCCAATATTGTATTTTGCTTTCTATGTGCTAAGACTGAGTAGAGTGACATGCTGTGCCCTTGATTAAAATTATGTTTTCAGCCCTGGCTGGTGTGGCTCAGTATATTGAGTGCCCACCTGCAAACCGAAAGGTTACTGGTTCTATTCCCAGTCAGGGCACCTGCCTGGGTTGCAGGCCAGGTCCCCAGGGTGTGTGTGAGAGGCAGCTAGGCAATGTATCTCTTGCACATTGAAATTATGTTTTCAATAAATAGTATACTCATATAGTTTAAAAATCAATAAGCTGTTCTGTGGCATCTTCTTCCTACCCCTTTCCTCAGCCACTCAGTTCCTACCACCTTCCCCAAAACAAGTAAACACTGTTAGCTTCCTTATCTTTCCAGAGATTTTTATGTATATACAAGCAGATGTGATTTTCTTTCCTATCCTCTTGTTATACATAAATGGAAACATACTATTTAATGATTTTGCACCTTGTTAGTTATTTCATTTAACATATTTTAGAGTTTTTTTTCAAATCAGTATTTTAAAGAGCTTCACTCTTTTTACTTCTCTGCATAGTGTACCATGTATGATTTACCATAATTTATATAAGTTGCTTTCTTGATGTATATTTGGGTTATTTCTGGTCTTTTGGCTATTATAAACAGTGCTGCAGTCAATAACTTGAACATACATTGTACAAGTTATGTGGGAGAAGTGTGTTAGTAGGATAAACTAGAAATGGAATCCCTGTGTCAAAGAGCAGAGGTCGTTATATTTTTTTTAGCTTTAAGAGTTGCTTTCTCAAGCATAGTATCTGCAAACTAAGCCTGCCTTACTTTGATAACATGTTCTCAAGTTATTAACATTCTTTCTGTAAATACATGAAAGTTGGTGATAAGTTTTGGCAAAAAAATCTTTTATAAGTTTAAAAATTAAATTACAAAGTTAACTTTGTATACAAACATAAACATTATTCTGAATGCAGAGTTATGAAAAAAGTGGGTAACCCATGCCTCTTGAAGCTTATAGAATTGGGGGAACAAAATGGATATATGTGAAATAATTGTGAATACCAGGCAAGAATGTAAGGTTGGTCAATAAGCAGTGGAGAGCCATTATTTCCTTAAATGAGAGTGATATAAAGAAAATGCTATAAATTACTGTTTTGCAACACTGTTCACAATACATTAGAAAGTCAGAAGGTGAGTAAATACTGAGATGATGAGATGAAGCATTAGGAGAATCAGTAATAAAAACAAAAGCAGAAGCAAGTTTAAGAAATAATACAAAAAAAACAGAACCATGCTTGTTTTCAACTGTCTTCATTTTCTCCATTACCATCCGGTGTTTTCCTTACTAACATACTTGTGTTACCACATTAATGAAAAGCAAACAAATGTCTGTTACATTTTTAAACATATGCTTGGTATAATTATAGTCATGTTAGAGATACACTGGAGCAATTTGGAGTTGAATGGGAAAGTTAGCTTGTAATAGATTGTTAACGGGTGTTGGGTACAAAGCAGTTAACCAGGGGATTTGATTATAGGTTAGAATTGAAAAGGACCCTAGGGTTCCAACTTTATTGTTATGTATTTGTAGTCTGAGGCCTAGAGTGGTGAAGAGTTTTGACCAACTAATTTAGTGAGATTTGGGACTAGAATTTACAAATCTGTTCCCTGTCTGTAAAGGAACAAGAATGTACCGAATCTGGGACTTCCGCCAAGATGGAGGCATAGGTGGACACGCCATGTTTTCTCACACAACCAAGTTTAGAGACAACAAAATATTAGCAACAGAAAACACAGCCAGAACACAGAAAATTGAACTTTTCAGAAGTCCGATAACAACAAATTCTTCAGCCTGACCGGTAAGAGGGGCGAAACCAGCAGCTGGCGGAGCGGGGTTGCACAAGAAAAGTCGGTCAGACGGACTCAGGCACGCAGATCCCAGGCGTGGGGTTGCAAAGGGCCAACCCAGTGAGCGACCGGAGGATCCAGCAAGGGTGAAGGGCAGTGGGTTGACTGTACTGGCCCATTCCTGCCCAGATAGACCGGCAAGGGAGTGGGCAGTGAGATGGGACCAAGCGGGTTCCAGCGACGGGAGGCAGCAGAGATGGCCGCCATTTCCCGGCTCTGACCCCGCCCCCACATACAGCATCACAACCCAGTGACCTGAACGACCCTACCCTGGTGAACACCTCAGGCTTCACTCCTCACCCAGTGGCAGGAAGCAGGAGAGGGGGACGCCCATTCTTCACTCTGACCCTGCCACCACATACAGCGTCACAACCCAGAGACCCCACCCTGCAGACCCCGCCTCATCCCTAAGGCTCTGCTCCTCATACTGAAGGGGCGAGAACAGACCAAAAACGGCTCAAGAAGATCTCAAAGGCCCAGAGCCCATAAATCTAAGTGACGAAGAAATAGCCAAACTTTCAGATGCACAGTTCAAAACACTGGTGATCAGGATGCTCACAGAACTGGTTGATTTTAGTCACAAATTACATGAAAAAATGAAGGCTAAACTAATTGAAATGAATGGAAATGCACAGGAAACCAATAGTAATGGAAAGGAAACTGGGACTCAAATCAATGGAGTGGACCAGAAGGAGGATAAAAATGACCAACCAGAAAAGATGAAGAAACAAGAATTCAAAAAAATGAGGAGAGGCTTAGGAACCTCCAGGACATCTTTAAACGTTCCGGTATCAGAATTATAGGGGTGCCAGAAGGGAAAAGGAATAGCCACGAGTGGAAAACTTATTTGAAAAAATAATAAAGGAGAACTTCCCCAATCTAGTAAAAAAAAAATAGACTTCCAGGAAATCCAGGAAGCTCAGAGAGTCCCAAAGAAGTTGGACCCAAGAAGGAACACACCAAGGCACATCAGAATTACATTAGCCAAGATTAAAATGAAAGAATCCTAGAAGCAGCAAGAGCTAAGGGGACAGTCACCTACAAAGGAGTTCCCATCAGACTGTCAGCGGATTTCTCAAAAGAGACCTTACAGGTAAGAAGGGGCTGGAAAGAAGTATTCCAAGTCATGAAATCCAAAGACCTACATCCAAGATTGCTCTACCAAGCAAAGCTTTCATTTAGAATGGAAGGGCAGATAAAGTGCTTCTCAGATAAGATCAAATTCAAGGAGTTCATCATCTCCAAGCCCTTACATGAAATGTTAAAGGGGCTTATCTAAGAAAAAGAAGATAAAAAAGATGAACAGTGAAAGGACAGCAAACTCACAGTTATTAACAACCACATCTAAAACAAAAGCAAGTGAAAAGGACAGCTAGATCAGGAGCAGAACCATAGAAATGAAGATCTCATGGAGGGTTAGCAACAGGGGAGTGGGAGGAGGAGAAGGGGGGAGAAGGTACAGAAAATAAGTAGTATAGATGGTAGGTAGAAAATAGATAGGGGGAGGGCAAGAATAGTATGGGAAATATAGAATCCAAAGAACTTGGGACACATGGTCATAAACTAAAGGGGGAGAATGGTAGGGGTGTGCAGGGTGGAGGGGAATAAAGGGGGGAATAGAACAACTGTAATGGCATAATCAATAAAATAAAAATTTTTAAAAATACACATTTAAAAGAAAAAAAGAATGTACCGAATCTGGTGCTTGAAACAGTATTCTGACATGTGTTTGGGAAGTTAAGGATGAAAGCCAGGAAGTGACTTCTTTCCATTTTTTTTCTTTTTTTTTTTCTTTACATTTTGATGTGTTTTTTTTTTCTTTTTAAACTTTATAGCAGTTTACCCTTATCTCTTTTAAGACCATGTACTATTCTTACTATATATATGTCTAGTCCCTACCTCTTTTACAGCTGGTCCTGATTCATCTAACCTCCACTGTGTGGGATTTTAAACAACAGTAGATGCTCTCAAAGTGCTAAAATAGATTTGTGTCTGAGGCAGTTTCTGTATTCTGACAGTTCTGAATAGGAGAACAATCTCAGATGAGGGAGCTGTCCTGAGTTCTTTCTGTATGATCCTTCCTAAATTCACTCTATTGGAGGTTTGGTTCTGTGCAAAGAAAAGGAGATGGATCAGGGAAGGAAGGTCTGTTACTACTACATTCATTGCCCTCTTGCTCAGTTCAAGGTCCCAGAGTCGCTTTTTACTGCCTGAGTTGATTCAACCAACATTGAATTCTAAGGTCCTGGCCTTGTATCCTTTGGTCGAACAGTCTAATTGAGAACAGGAAAGTGCTGTCTGTTATATTGTTATATTCCACAGAGAAATGTGCTTCAGAAGGGTGTGGGGAGAGCCAACGAGTTCCTTAGGGCCTGGGCCTTAGCCTAGGAGCTGAGAATACAGCAGTGAAGACAACACGATGAAACTCCTGGCCTCATAGTGCTGAAATTCTATTGGGGGAGGGACCGGCAAAGGGGGAAAGGAAGACAATAAGCCATATAAATAAGCAAAATATATAGTGTGGCAGAAAGTATTAAGTGTTGAGGAAAATAATGGAAAAGCTATTTCTCTGGAAAATGCGGGAAGGTGACAGAAAGGATAGGCCAGTAAGAAACCTAGTAAAAGACTGCTAGGCCTCTTCTGGTTCTAGCAAAAAAAAAAAAGAGGGCGGGGGTAGTGGGGATCAAAGCTGCCTGTCCCTTTAAAAATGATGGCTCCACACTGGCCCATGATGCTATTGGTCGCAGAAGCGGAAGAGGCGGGGAACGCAGCACCAAGGAGTCTCACCTCCTACGGTGTGACAGAGGGAACAAGATGGCTGCCGCACAGGAGGGCTGTGGGGTTGAGGCTGATGCGGATCAGGAATTGGAAGAGCTTTTGGAAAGTAGGAAACGGTCATGGAAACACCTGAGGAGGGCGGGTGTGACCCTTTCAAGGCGTTAAGTGAATTTGAGATATTGGGGGCAGAGCGGGGGAGGCTGTCCAAAGATTGGACGGGGCGGAGGGTCAGACTGCGACTTTAAAGAACATCTCATGGTCCCCTTCTCTGTCCTCCTTCCCCGTCCTCCGCGGTGGGAGCTCGGGAGCTCACCTTGAGCTCATGAGGGCCCAGACTGTTGATCTCCCTGAAAGAGAAGAGACATTAACACAGCGGATGACGTTTCAAGATGAGGCTACAAAGCCCCCTTGCTTTAGATTAGTAAATTCTTGAAGTCCAACTTCCTTCCTGCCAGCAGAAGCATTCGGTCCTCTGTTGGCTCTGAAGCGGACACTTACAAATTGCTTATACAAACTGTTAGCGCACCATTCTGTGCAGTGACCTATCCTGTTTAACACAGAAGACACGTCTTTCCTTCTCCCAGTCCTTTCACTTTTACCTCACAGGCCCCTTTCCAGTTCTTTCCTTATGTCAGCTGAAGCTGACTCCCTTTCTACTACTTTGAAAAACTGGGAATGAGAAAGTCTCAGGAAAGACAGTTCACTCCCTGAACGAGGGTGAATGTTCGTTTTTCCTTAGCCATGTCCTCCACTCCTCTTGGTGTCTTGCCCAGAGTGGGGCCAGTGGTCTCCTCTTAGGCCTAGCAAGCAGAATGGTAGTGAGGACACAGGCTTTTTAGGGCAGAGGTGAATATTTTTTTCTCATGCACAGTCAGAGATATGGGCAGGTGGAAGGATGAACAGAAATGGTAAAGAGTGCCAAGTGTGAACTGATACACAGTCATCTGCAGAGAGGACCAGACCTCTCAGAGCTTTGCCAAGGGAGAGCTAAATTGGAGAATAAGAAAGTTTAATAGCCTTCCATAGATTGCTGTTTGGTGTCCCTCAGTTTACATTAGTACCAGGACCCCATGGGAAGTTGGGTGGGACACCTTGTGGCTTCTGCTTTCTTGCCAAAGATTACTCCAGTAATCTTTGGGGCTCCAGTGTGTGTGTGTGGGGGGGGGTGCATAAGGATAGTCGGTGTTCTCTGCTCCTGTTGGATATATGTATGGGATTTCTAGGGAATCAGAATGTGACAGGGAAGGCACTGTGTAGATAGGTTTCTCCAGAATTTCTTTTAACTCCCTCCCCTGAGAGAGATGCCTATTCCATCTTAAGGTGTTTTCCCCCTTTGACTGCAATAAATTAGGTAACGTGGAGGGAATTGGGAGGCTTACTGAGGAGTGGGCCAGAATAGGGACATTCAAAAAAAGGAGAAAAATTGAGGAATGTTGCCAGCTTGAAAGATTGTTCTCTCAGTGCTTTGTCCAGAACCCTGTCCCCAGCCTTTCATTTTCATTCATCCCCAACACACATACTATGTATCTTGTCTCTGAAGGTGCTCTTGATGATTTCGATAAGGCCAGACCCTCCCCAGCACCCCCTCCTACCACCACGGCCCCTGATGCTTCAGGGCCCCAGAAGAGATCGCCAGGAGACACTGCCAAAGTATAAATTCCACCTTCTTAAGGGAGGGGGACGGGATGGCATGCAGCTCTGAATAGAGGTGGGGACAGACCTCTGTGGGCCAGAGGGGGGTGGGAGGAGGGTGCTTTGAGGTCACATTGCTGAATGCACTACCAAGCCTCAGTCCTTGTAAAACAGAGAGTTGATGTGAAGTGGTCTCAAGGAAGTTCCTTGAGAGAAGAGCAAGTTTAAATGATTGGTTTGGAAATGCCACTCTATACCCTTCCCTCAGAGGCCAGATACTTTTCTTGCTGTCCTCATAAGAGTGGTAGTTAGAATTTCCAGTGGAGGTAGGTAGGAGGAAGGCATGGTATTTCCCAGAGCCTCTGACTGTAGCAAGTCAGAGGCAAGGTGCAGTGCAGTGCCAAGAGATACATTTTGGCCACTCTTCCCCTGTAGGATGCCCTGTTCGCCTCCCAAGAGAAGTTTTTCCAGGAACTGTTTGATAGTGAGCTGGCTTCCCAAGCCACTGCAGAGTTCGAGAATGCAATGAAGGAGTTGGCTGAGGAAGAGCCCCACCTGGTGGAACAATTCCAAAAGCTCTCAGAAGCTGCTGGAAGAGTAGGTGAGAGGGGGCCCAGACAACTGGAAATATCTGAACAAATATCTTAAGTCATCATTGCTTGAGACCACCAAAATTTTTAGTAAAGTTGATAGCAATCATGATACTACTGCCACGGGGTGAAGGAGGAGATGATAGAGGGATGGGAACCCTGCTGATGAAAGGAATGAGATGGGTGGAATATAATTGGATTATTGAAAACTGATCCTTTTAAAGGTTGCAGTGTTATCATGGGTGTCATTGTGGAGCACAGACTAACACACTGTGTAGATTTGTAAAAATGATTGAAAATAACCATAGAGCATTAAAAAATTTGGAGTGCTGGTGACTCACTAGTAAATGCTCCATACCCAAGCTGGTAACCGGGTCAGTCTAGGTAAGCAAATAGTTAAAATTACAAATGACCTTGGCTCTTTTAATCTCACCTAGGCAGTGATGCGACTTCCCAACAAGAATTCACTTCTTGCCTAAAGGAGACACTAAGTGGACTAGCTAAAAATGCCACTGACCTGCAGGTGAGGGGGAAGAGGTAGGGAACCACTAGGGGCCCATTCTCAGATATTTCACTAGCAGAATCTTAAAGACAGACTCTCTTGGGTATTATTATCCCAAGTCTGTCCCTTCCTGTTTTGCTACAGGCAAGTTTAAATAGTTTTTCCCACCTCAAAGGGTAGTAAGCATCCCAAGAAGGTGATATACTTGTTTACCTCTCTCCTTTTCTTCCTAGAACTCAGGCATGTCAGAAGAGGAGCTGACCAAGGCCATAGAAGGGCTGGGCATGGATGAAGGGGATGGGGAAGGAAACATCCTCCCTATCATGCAGAGTATCATGCAGAACCTACTGTCCAAGGATGTGCTGTACCCATCACTGAAGGAGATCACAGAAAAGGTTTGCAAGCTCCTATTTCTTTTTTTTTTCTGCCATTGTATCAACTCATGTTGATACATGTTGATACATGAGTCATGTGGGCTACTTTGGCTGCTTAGAACCTACAGAGATGGAGAAACTCCAGTACATTTGTTTTTTCTCTCTTATGTTTATTTATGTGGATTAGGAAAAATTGGAAAGGAGTTGTGTCTCTAAGAGAATAAAGCACTACCACACTGAGGATAGTTAAGGTAGAAGGGAAAATCCTTCAGCTCTAGTTTGCTGTACACTGGTTTGATACTCTTGTTGTCTGATCAAACCCCTTGCATTTCTTCTAACTTCATTCATTTCTCCAACAAGCTTTCACTGAGGATGTACTGGCTTTTTGCTATGAAAAATTTAAGAGTAATTTAAATGATGGTGCCTGCCATGAAAGACCTTATAGTTTTTTTTAAATAGATGAAATACAGGAATAGAAGCTTTTCAGTGATACAGGGCAACATGTGATCAAGTGTGAAATGAATAGTATAAACAGGGAGTCAGCAGACAAGGATCTGGGTGGACCAAATCTAATTCTTAAATTTTTAAAGGTTGTGAAATCAAAGAAAAAGGAAGAGAGAAAAAAGAAAATATGTGACAGAGAACTTATGTGGCCCTTAAAGCCTAAAACATTTACTGCCTGACCTTTCATGGAGGAAGTTTGCCATTGTCTGGTGATCATAAATGCCAGGTGGTTGGTTGGAGTCAGTGCTACTTCACATGTTGAACTAGTTTATATAGTTTTTCTACCTCTTCTGTTCCCCTCCTCTTGGTACTTTATTGTTCTTCATATTTTATTGCCCTTCCTTATCCATTGTTGACTTAATTTTTCTCCACCCATTTTCTCTTTCCTTAGTATCCAGAATGGTTACAGAGTCACCAGGAATCTTTACCTCCAGAACAGTTTGAAAAATATCAGGAACAACACAGTGTCATGGGCAAGATATGTAAGCAATTTGAGGCAGAGACCCCCACAGATAGTGAGGCCACTCAGAAAGCTCGTTTCGAGGTGGTGCTGGATCTTATGCAGCAGGTAAGGCTTCATTCTACCAACTGCCCACTGTTGGGTGTTTGGTGGAGGATGCATCTGGGAAGGCTACATTGCCAAACCCAGGTGGAAGAGGGAATGCAAGAGAGGCTACATAGCATGGTCCTCAGGAGAAAGCAGAGAGAACATAGATTCTTTTTTTTTTTTTAGCTGCTATATTGTCCTTTGAGATTTTCTCTGTCTCATGTTTCTCTTTCCTTATTTGCCAGCTACAAGATTTGGGCCATCCTCCAAAAGAACTGGCTGGGGAGATGGTGAGTATATCTTCTAGATTTTAATTTTAGCCTGGGGTTCTAGAATTCTTTAACCTTTAAGGATTGCACCTCAAGTGATAATTGTGGCTACTGGGAACGGACCTACAGATGCTGTGACCTGAAATGTGAGCAGTTCTCTGAGTCCCTTCATCTCTCTCCAGCCTCCTGGCCTCAACTTTGACCTGGATGCCCTCAATCTGTCAGGCCCACCAGGTGCCAGTGGTGAACAGTGTCTGATCATGTGAAACACGACACGTTTCCTTCCTGATTCCCAGCCATGGGGAATGTCTGGAGTCAGCAGAACCACTAGGAGCTGAGGCAGGAATGTTGCCTGTGGGAGTGGTCTACCAGCTACCCTCTGTCATCCCATCCAAGATGGTGCCAATGCCAACTGATGTTTTTCCCTGTCTTTCTAGGAATAAGACCTGTTCTGTGGGGCATTTCTGTGAGCCCTTTTGATTGTGGTTTCTGCTGCTAGCAAAGGCACAGATACCTACTTACCAAGTAAAGGAAGGCTTCCCTTTTAGGAAGCATGCATCTTCTTCCTTCACCCAAAATAATGTTACATTTGCCCACATTGATGTTCACCTTTGTACCCAGGGTCTTCGTGCCTTGTTTCCACTCCCTTCTCTGGGGCCTAGGGAGCAGGGACAGAGTCTTGGGACTCTATTTCTGTAGTCTGTTGGACAGGTCATTTGGAAATGATGGGGAGTAACCTTGCCTAGGCTGGAGCTATAGGTCCATCACCATGCCCTCTTGCCTTCAGACAGACCTTTTTGAATTCTCTGAAGGGAAAGGCAGTGGAGGCTTTTGCTTCTAATGACAGTAAAGTTGAAAGACAAGTCCTGGGGTTCTCCTCTCCCAAGGTGCTGCATCCTCAACTCCCAGTTCCAGCTTGAGAATTCAGGTTGCTGCCCTAGTTCTTTCCATAATGCTATGTGATCTGGATGAATCTAGCCCTTGACCTTCCTTTGCCTCTCTTATCTCCCCTCATTCAAAAATACCCATTTATTTCAACCTTTCTCCAAACTGACAAAGAAGGGCCCACCCTATTTCCCCTCATCTAGTCCATTTACTGTTTTCACTGGCCCCTTCTCTCCCTGGTAAACACAATATAATTATAATGTCAGATCTAGGAACTGAGTGACTGTTCTTCCCCAGATACATTTGGGCTTATTTGAAACAACTACTTTGAGTCCTGTCCTTTGATTCAGGGAGGTTGTTTGGGAAAGTGGGGGGTGTGGCCTAGGTCCTTTTTCCAGACTAATAAATATTTTGAGTGAGGAGTGTGGCCTGTTTTTCATCCAGGTCTTTTTCTGATCTTCCTCAACTTCTGTCAGCTGCAGTGTGAATAATTTTAGCAGACTAGTCCTGCATAACATTGCACTGATGATTCCACCACCACCCCTCTTCCCCAGCTCAATCTGCACTTCATTTGGCAAAGGAGACTGATGACCTTACCTCATTTCCTGTTAAGTATTTGAGTCTGGGAAGCCTTTTCATTTGTATTGATTTTAACATTTCATATTTTTATTAAGAATATATTGTTGCCCTGGCTGGTGTAGCTCAGTGGATTGAGCGCAGGCCTGCGAACCACACAATTGCGGTTCGATTCCCAGTCAGGGCACATGCCTGGGTTGCAGGCCAGTTCCCAGCAGGGGACTCAAGAGAAGCAACCATACACTGATATCTCTTTCCTTCTCTCCTTCCCTCCTCCTCTAAAGATAAATAAATAAAATCTTAAAAAAAAAGAATATATTGTTAATGTGCTTTCTAAATTATTTTTCTTTGAGCTGACCTTGTCCTTCTCTATGGGAGCTAATGGATTTGTGGGCCTTGGCTGCCATATGTTGATGGATACTCAGGTCAGACCAGCTGGCTATTCTGGTTCAGTACTCAGAAAATAACCACCAAAGCAAATTCACTTTCAGCTCCTGACATGTCACTTTCCCCTGGGGTAAGCCTTTCAGCCCATAAGATCTCACATGTTCTGTGGTATTGGCAAGGAAGGTAATGTTCTTGAGGCCCCAGGCTTTTGGGGATAGTCTAGCTACTGTTCCTTATCAAAGTACGGAAGAGCCCAGGTCTGAATCTGAGACTCCTCTTATTCTGTAAGAGAAGGGGAAAGTGTAGACACACTTGTGATGATGGTCATTGACCTAAATGGCCAGAATACTCCCTTTTTTAGCTCCTGCCCAAAACTAAATAAGGTTGGAGAGGGAGGAGAGAAGACCAAAGGGCCTTGCCCCTTGAACTGTGTGCCTATTGTACTGCTAATTTTCTTTATAAATTCTCACTTTTTGCTGGATCGGCCAGGGCTTACTCCAGGAATCTAAACAGATGCCCTAGTCCAGTGGTCCCCAACTTTTTTGGCACCAGGGACCAATTTTGTGGAAGACTATTTTTCCATGGATGGGGTGGGGGGGGGGGGTTTGAGATGATTCAAGTGTATTACATTCAAGCTCACCTCCTGCTATGCGGCCTGGTTCCTAACAGTGTCCATGGCTCAGGGGTTGGAGACCCCTGCCCTAGTCTACTTTAATTTTGTTCTCAAGCCATTTAATTTTAATTTTGATTGAACATGAACAAACTAACTTTATGTTCTAAAAACACTACTTGAATTATTCTAAGACTTGTGGAAAGATTGAGTAGTCTTTCTCACACTGTGGTAAAGGACCAGGTTTTTTGTTTTATAAATATCCAGTTTTTTATACCACCAATATGTGTTCCTGTTGCCCATGATGAGTGTGCAGTTCACGCTGGATGCTCCCTCCCCCCACGCAAATTTGACAGTAGTCAAATTGGTCATGATAAGTCCACTGATCATGCTCTTGAATATCATAACAGTGTTAAAATGCTAAAAAGTGTCTGAATACCCCAAATACATGGTAAAAAAAAAACAACCAAAAACTGTTCACAGACCAGTACAAGTCTTCAAACCACCTTTGGGTAGCACTACTATGGGGTCCTCCCCAGGCTCTCAGTAGCTCTACCAGTCAAGCTGATAACATTTCTGCCCTGGCTGGTGTAGCTCAGTGGATTGAGCGCGGGCCTGCGAACCAGACAATCACAGTTCGATTCCCAGTCAGGGCACACGCCAGGGTTGCAGGCAGGTTCCCTGCAGGGGGATGCACGAAAGGCAACCATATATTGATGTTTCTCTCCCTCTCTCCTTCCCTTCCCCTCTAAAGATAAATAAATAAAATCTTAAAAAAAAAAAACAAAAAAACGGATACATTTCTATACTTACAGGTCTCTCCTAGGTAAGGGTTGCCTCCAGTAAACTTTCTTCAGCAACAATGAGTCACTTTAAGGATATCTCTAGTGTTTTTCTAGGCTCCCTTTTCTGACACTTTAATCATCACAAAGGTTGGGTTTAAGCTATATATGAAGTGTTTGTGCCACTCTCAAACTTTGAAAGAGGTGATCCTTTGTTCCAAAGTTCTATATGTTAGAAATTTGGTGGTTTGCATGGTTTCAGAATTAAGAATCAAATTTATACAGAATTTGTGATCATATGGACACTTTCTTATGACTGTGAATCATCCTGGCAAAGTCCCTATGAGGTACTTATAATAGGCTTTTGGGAGCTTGGGGAAAATGATGGCCTGTAGTAAATGAAGTTGAGGTGACAGACCATATGAGAAATAATCAAAAGCCTTAGAGGAAGTGGGTATATAGGATTGAATGTCTGTTACACTGGAAACCCTACCAGCTGACTGTTCCTCATGAAGGCCTGGGAAAAAAAATTTTATAAAGGAAAGGCACTAATAAAGGTGCCTTTATTAGGTAACCAGCATCTTTATGAAGTTTAGAAGTGGCTGTCTCTCTGTTGATAGAGGCTGATGGAAGGAAATTATTGTTTAGATCTGATTTTCCTTGAAGTAGCAGGGATGACATGACTCTGGCAGGGTGGGTGCATTCTATTTTAGCAGCATGGTTCAATAAATATGGCTAAGGGAACATGGGTGATCCCACAGACCAGAGAGATGGGCAGCCTAGGAGGATATTGATTTATATATAATTTAAATAGAGACCAAGAATGGGTGAATAGGATGCTGAGATCAATAACTTCAATGAAAAGTCACAATTCTTTGTCCAGCTTCCAGGCTGCATTTAACAACATTGATATAGATTCTGTGAATTAAGTGAAACATATAATGAAACCAGTTTTACCATAGGCTAGTTAATACAAACAAGATTAAGTTCTTACGGCATCTCATCATTATAAGGAAACATTATTCAAGGACCTGCTGTACTCTGGATTCCTTGGTGAGACACAGTCCAGTGGGTGGGAGATAAAACCTGCAAAAGTGCAGGGCCCTGCCACATTAAGTTTTTGAGTCCAGCATTCTGACACATGCTCTCCAAAGTAAAAGGTAACTTATTGGATCCTGTATCTTTTACCTCCAAGAAAGAAGCACAGTGCCTCGGAAAATTACATGGTACCGGGGGTATCTGTGGAATGAAAATAAGCTTTGTGGATTCTCTGGCAAGCCACAGTAGGAGATCCCCAATATAGACCTTTAGGGTTCTGGAGTAAGGTGATGGCATCTCTACTAAAGTTTCACCATTTGAAAAGTATCTTCTGGCATACTGTTAGTTTCTGATAGAGACTTGGTGCCTGATCACAAAGTATTGAGTGGCTGTGACCAGTTGCCTATATAATCAGCTGGTTCTTGTCAGATGTGCCAGGCTATAAGATTGGGCGGATACAATAGCAATCCATCTTACAGTGGAAAGCCCATTTGAGAAAAAGCCCAAGCAAACTTGGTGGGCACAAGTAAGTTAAATTGAACAAGGAGCCTAGACTTCCATATTACCTATGTGTGTTGCACTGATACCTTTCTCTTAGTTCATACTTAGGGTAGCATAAGAATTATTCAGCCATTTGACAGAGGAGGAAACACATCCAGGTCTGGTTCATAGATGTACTGGCAAGATACATTAGGGAAAGCCAACTATGGACGACTACTACTCAACAGCCCCATCCAGAGTAATCCTGAAAGACAATGGTGAGGGGAAATTCAATGAATGGGGCTTTAGACAATGCACCTAATCATACATGTCTGGAGAGGGAAGTGGCCTGAGGCAAGGATATATAGCCCATGGTCAGTGGGCCATGGTCAGGGACCCAAGTGGAGCAAAATAGGGAAGTGGTGGGAAACAAGGTCTGACGTGGAGCATTTGGGGTGATCTATGAGAGTGGGACCTGTAAAAGTGCTCACCAGAAAAGTACTAAATAACCAAATGAATGAGATGATTTCAGGACTGCCTTACCTATCCCAGTTCTTGCAGTGTCATCACCGAGGCAGAAGTAGAAGGTATTTATTGGCCTATTAGCATGGACTTTTTTCTCACCTAGCTAGTGCTGTTTCTAAATGTCCAACCTGTCACCAACAAAGCAATGCTAATCCCCTAGATCAGTACCACTGCTCTAAAAGAACAACCAGCCACTTGGTAAGTTGATTATATTGAGTATTTTCCATCCTGAAAAAGGCAACAATTCTCATTAGGACTGATACATATTTTGCTTTGCCTATCCCACCTAAAGTGCCTCAGCCAGTACTTCCATCCAAGGACTCAGATATTTGATTTACTGTCATGGGGTTCTACATAATTACACCTTGAAACAAGGGACCCACTTAATGGCAAAACAGGTGCAGCAATGGGCACATAACAATGTGATCTGCTGTTCCTACCAAATACTTTTCCAACTAGAAGCTTCTGACCTGGTAGAGTAGTAGAATGGCCTCTTGAAGGTATGTGTTTGACACCAGCAAGAATAGGGTGGTGTCCTTTGCAATACCTATTAACTTACATGACCAAAATAAGAGGGCCCATATTCAGCATTATTCTCACTCATCCACCAGAGGATTTGTGCTTCCCATCCCTGCAACTCAGTTCTGTGGGTCTAGAGATCTTGGTTCCCAGAAGTGGAAATGCTTCTGTAAGGCACTACATAAGACTCTCAGTAAACTTAAAGATAGGGCTGTCATCTGGTCACTTTGGGCTGCTAATGCCAGCAAACTATCTGGCAAAAAAAGAAGTGACTACTGTCTGGGATAATTGACTATTATGCGGAGGTAGGACTGCTGCTACGTTACAGATGCAAGAGGAAAGTGTTTGATGCACATGTGATCCCTATGCTATTTCTTGGTCCTCTGATACTCAGTTTTATGTAAGAAAGTAAACAATTATGGCCTGATGACAGCATGATTTTCAGGGCTCAGAATCTCCTCTTCTAGGTGTCCCCAGAAATTGTGACCAGAATGCTGGAGAAACTGCCTGGATAGACTGAACTTAATGTACAAACACAATGGATTGGAGCAATGCTAGAGTTTGACTGTAATAGACATTGTTGGTACCCTGTCTAGATCCCCTTTACCGGGAAGTATGCAAATTGGCTGCTAATAGCTCATAGCCCCTTGAGAACTGCCCTTTGTGCCAACAGGGGCCACTTCTGTAAACTTCTGGAAGGTAATACCCTCCCAGGGACAGCACCACAGCCAATGGCATGATGTCAGTTTCTGCAAAGAAGTCAGCTGGCATTTTGATAGAAATTATATTATCAACAATACTATGCAATAAGTGTTATTTGCAAATGATACTAAGGTACAAAATCCCTCAAGCTGAGATAAATGTGCCAGAAGCTCTCAGTGGAAGCTAAACTAATCAGTTGAACCCATATTTTTCCCATCTTGTCTTTAGTCTCACTACTAAACATGTAGTGAGAGAAGCAAGTTCCTCAATA